TAGTACGAGCCGTACCTTTCAAATGTTTTCATAGTGCTGTATAAGATTCCATAAGAAAACCGGTGAGAAACTGGTGAGAACCGTGAGGACTCGGTTGGAACTACCAAAAGCTGCCGAGTTGCACACTAGTTTTTTTTTTGTTTTTTTGTTTTTATTTTTTTTTACCAGGGGACTGCTTTTTTGTCTTTTCACGCTTTCTCCCAGTTCCTTAACGCCAGTCCAAAATTGAATGCAGCTCTCAACCTAAAAGTCCACTGTTTCATATCTGCGCGGTCCCCTCCGGTCCCCTCCGGTCCCCTCTGTGGAGCGAATAATTAATGGAAACAGAATTGCGCTGGTATTGGGAGGATAGGCTGGATAAAGCATACCTTTCAGAGAGTGATTATGCCTCGTCCGCTGGCTCGCCGCGTCTGTTCTTTTTCAATGCCTGATAATGAGACCTAGTCGTGTCTGAGGCAAAAGCGAGGGAATGGGCGTGGGGAGGGGCGGGGCGTGGCGGGGCGGGAGGGGAGGAGTCGAGGAGTCGGCAGGGCGAAGCTTCCTAGCCTAGCGCCCCTGCCTCCCACTCGCCGCCGTCCCCTGGAAGCACCGCCCGCGCCCGCCCGCCCTCGTACCCGATCACCTTGGTTGTATCGACTGCCGTACAACCGAGTATCATTCGCTCACTCTTAGCTTTGCGTCACACCCTCTTTCTAGGGCGTTTAATCTAGCTGATAACTACTTGGTCTTAGACGCCGGGCAGAGACTGCAAACGGCAAACGGTCTCACTCGCACGGTGTCATGCCGCCTGGCGCGTAGAGCGACGAGTGTGAGCGTATGAGCCTGGCCCGGCGGCCCGGCCCCACTGGAAAAACAAACTGCTAATTCCTACCTTTGGGGGCCACGAAGCCTTTACAAAGGCACTAAAACTAAAACTAATTTTAGCACCTTTTGCGCTGTATACTGCTCTGATTAGTGCCTTTGAAAGGCACTAAACTGAAAATGTGTTTAGTGCCTTGGGAAAGGCACGACTTTAGCACCTTTGTTTTACCATCAGTGCCGGCCCGCGCGGGCTCAGACGGACTCAGACGAGTTACGCGGCCCGTCGAGGGCGAGAGGTGAGGAGAGGTGTGCGGAGGGGTGTCGCCGGAGGCTGGAATTTGTCGATTTCCCGTGCATTATAGTGCTCCGGCTCGGCTACCTTCGGCGTGCTTCGGCGGCAGGTCAGCCGACACTGTTAGCCCTGGCCAGCTGGCAGCCAGCGGCAGTGAGACCGTTTGCGGTTTCTGACGCCGGCCCCGGATCAGCCCCTGGCATGCTGGGCCGCCCCGCTCGCCACGTGCTTGTGGCGGGTCGGCCTACCCAGCAGGCGGTCCGTATCGTATTGTAAGGATCGACCGAGGGGAGGCGGCTGCTGCGGCTGCAACTCTTTGGCTCCCACACGGTAAAAACAATGTCTCAGTTTTTGAGGGAAAAGGGAACACTTTGAGGAAGTCCCCTGGTTTGACAAAAACTCCTCAGATGTCGAGGAAGTCTCCTGAAAGAATGTGGAATTTTTCCTTATATTTGGAAAATATTTCTCAAAATCTGAGGTGAGATCGGAGGACTATTCCTCAAACATAGGAGTTCCTCAAAGTTTCCCCGTTTTCCCCAAAAAATGAGACATTGTTTTTACTAAGTAAAGCAAGCTTGCACTTGGGAAATGAACCAGCCGCAAGCCCAAGCCCGCAAGTTTTTTCAAGTCTAAAATTTAGATATAAATT